ATTAAACATCAAAAAATTATAATAAATAAATTACTTAATACAAATTCATAAATTTGTTAAAATAAATATGATTTATATTTATGAACATAACACAATTTATTTCATTCTACTTGGACTCCAAACGAGTGAGATCCCATTTTTAAAGTTATGATTGCTTGTTTGATCTTCCTAAACTTTTTAATATTATAATAATATTAAAATTATTTTGAAGACTAAAAAGACGTCAGATAAGTGGAGTGTGTTGTTTCCTATTTTTAAGAATAAAGGTGATGCACATGAATGTGCGAATTGTAGAAGAATTAAGTTAATGTGTTATACTTTAAAACTATAGGGGAGAGTAATTGAGTATAGGTTATGATGAAATACTAACATTTCTCAAACTTAGTTTGGATTCATGATGGGTAGTTCTACTATGGAAGCTATACATTTACTAAGAGGTTTGATGAAGAAGTATAGAGAGAGTAAGTAGGATCTACATATAGTATTTATTGATTTAGAGAAAGCATATAATAAAGTTTCAAGAGAAGTGTTCTAGATAAAGTTTTAAGAGAAAAGTTCTAGAGAGATCTAGAAAAGAAAGGAGTTAATAATGCTTACATTAAAGTCATTAAGCATATGTATAAAGGAGCTATTATTTATGTTCAAACACAAAGTGGTTTGACTAAGTATTTTCTTATTTCAGTTGGATTACATCAAAGATCAACTTTAAGCCCATATCTTTCTTATTTAGTCATGAAGGTTCTTACTAAACATTTGCAAGTGGATGTACCTTGGTGTATGTTTTTTTGCTAATGATATTCTTTTTGTTGATAAGACTAGAGAGTAGAGAGGGAATTGAAAGAAAACTTGAATTATGGAGGTCAGCCTAGAGTCAAAAGGTTTTTTTCTGAGTAGATATAAAACCAAGTACATAGAGTGCAATTTTTAGTAGTGATAGACTTCATGAGGGAATTGTGACTTTGGGCGATCAATTTATTAAATAGAGTATACTTTTAAATATCTCAGGTCTATTGTTCAAACCGATGGTGAAATAGATAGGGATATTATCAGTAGAATTTAAGTTGGATGGTTGAAGTGGAGAAATGCATCGCCTGTTGTGTGATAGAAAAGTATCCCTCAAACTTAAAGAAATATTCTATAAGATGGTGGTGAGACTTGCAATGCTTTATGACATAGATTGTTGGTCATTAAAAGAGAAGCATAAAGTTATGTATTGCAGAGATGATGATGTTCAGATGGATGAATGGCTTTAAACTTAGAGATAGCGAATGAAAACAAACATATTTATGAAAAGGTTAGCGTTGCTCCAATGGAAGATAAGATTAGAGAGTCACCTTAGATAGTTTGGTCACATATAACGTCAGTCATTTTAGATGTCTCGGTTAGAAGAGTAGATGTATTAAATCTGAAATATGTTAAGAAGAATAGAGGTTGACATAAAAAGACTTGGTTAGAAATGTTTAGATATGACCTTCTTTTATTAGATTTAAATGAGAATTCGGCTCTTAATAAGACATAATGAAAGAAAAGGATTCATTTAGTTGATCCCTAATAGTGGGATAAAAGCTTAATATTGTTGTTGTTGACTGTTTATCTGAAATCTTGGTCTTCTACTTAACCTATACTTAGTAGCAGATTTCCAAGGTCCTATCCTATCTAGTGAATTCTGGTTGGTTAGAAGATATATGTGTTGCACCAAATCTTGCTACAACAAGCTAGATAAATTATTATGAATCCAGATTGCAGCCATCGGATCTTTAAAATATGATCTACCGTCTTTTGTATGTCGTCCTTTCTTCAACCCATCTAACCTTGGGTATAAGCTCATAAAAGCCAAAGTGCGATGTAGATGGCATAAAATGGGAGGTGACTATCAAGATTGTAGCCAACAAGCAGTGGCCACCAGTGAGCGGCATTCACTGGCGTCGAGGGCGATGCCTATAGGCGGTGGTGGTGGAAACTACCCCAATAATTTTTTATTTTTTTTTTCAGGGAGCAATGGATCTAGGCTTTGGGAGATAGGAATAGCTTTTCAGCTTAGAGGCCATCTTAAGGATCAAACCAACAAAACCTTAAATCTCTACATCAAAACTTAGTGGGCTTTAAAAAGATGTAGAGGTGGAAAAGGGAGGGAGGTTATATCTTCGTATGGTTGTAAAGGAGATAGCCTGGGGTAAAGTTAGATTTCACTCCTCTCTTTCTTTGAAGTTGCAACTGAATAAAAATTTCAAGAAGAGAAGAGGCGTTAGAGAGAAGAACCACCATTTTTTCTTCTCCCATTTTTTTGGCCGCAGAAAGAGTGAGACCATTGGGGATTTTACCCAAGCTTATTGGCTACCAAGAAAGGTGATTTCCATCTATTGTGGAGAAAGGAGGTTCATCCATAATTTTTTTGGAGGGATTTTTAACTCATTCTAGCCATTTAAAAGATAAAATTTAGTTGAAATGAAATAGGGGGATACATATAACTTATTTAAAATTATACATCATAAATAATATATAATTATAACAAATACATCTAAATGTTTATTTATCAATATTGATTCAAATCATTTACTCGAAGCATCTCAAACGACATCCAATACAGACATGGATGGGCTCCATTGAACTACCACGATGATTTGGACATAACGATATAATCTATTTCGCGAGATAATGCTTCAATAAAAAAAATTTCATGTATGAAAATCTCGCGCATATAAATTTCTCATAAATCTTTCATGATTTCAAAATCTCGCTCATACATGCAGAATCATTTATGAGGATGAATGCGGTGCAACTCATAAAACGCAAATTTGATGATGTGAGGAAATGTGAAGCATCATTTAGTAATGCATGATAATATGCGACACACAACTCGATCTGACTAGATATTACTTAGGAACAACTAAGATAAAGCCCAAGTCTACCAGGTAAATATTCTATTAAATGGGTCATTGACTTGGACAACAAAAAACAGGTAAATGTTGCTCCAATAGTGATGCAAACACATGCCACTTGATATGCATTGTGCTATGGAGAAACAATCATGCCACAAGAACTAGAAGATTATATAAAAAGTGTGATAGGAAATACTTGAGTTGCAAGTAACCATAATCAAAATTGGGGGGAAAACAACAAGAAATCTGCTGTTTTCAAGAAGAACCCAGCAGGAAACCAAGCAGAAATTCAGATTTTCGGAGATAAAACAGGAGCAAACTCCTATTCAATCAAACAACGAGAAAGCAAAGAAAGATAGGAGTTTCTCCAATTCGAGGGGGAGAAATAGCCCTCCAAATCTCTAGCAGTAGTCTAGAGCCCACGTACAAACCCTAGATCTCAAATTCCCTTCAAATTCAAGATAAGAAACCCTAATTCTCTCCAAAGCCTAATTAAACTCAAGAGGACTCAAGCAAAATCCTAGAAATTCAGACTGCTATAAAGGTGGGATACCACCCTATATTATTCTATTTACAAAAAAAATTCAGTACATTCAACCCAAAGAGCTAATACCAGTAATCAATAAAAAAATGTGAACCATAAAACAAGATATCAAGATTAAAACCGAAAAAAAATAAGAGCTAATGCCTTCTTATTGTTTCTATTTTTGGGATTTAACTCTTCAACAAGCAATTTCTCCACATCCTCTCTTGACTTAAACTCGAGCTGGCCTCAAGTGCCAACTCCATTAGAGCTATCTGAAGCTTGCTTAGCACCGTTATTCCCAGGTTGAGAATTTACGACTAATAGAGGAGGGCGGGAGCGACTCCCTACAGTTTGCTTTTCCCCTGTATTTCTTCATTATTGTTTTTCTTTGGCTCCTTTGTTGCTATTCAACTTCGCTCCTCGAAGACGTTCCCTTCTTGTTGGATCAGAAGTTAGACCATTTTGATCAGAAGCAATGACGGGAGCTCGCTCGCTGTGAAGGTAACATTCTCCCTTTCGCGCGCTTCTTTGGTCAAGTCCCGTAAATCCGCCAAATTACAGGATTTCGAAAATCTGAGATTTACCACTTTCATTTACCGTGAGATTTGGTTTTGCATTTTAGGCCGTTTAACTAAATTTCGCTCAAATCCAACATAAATCCTGCTACCGAATAGTCCTTAAGAGCTTCTCCAGCGAAACTTCAAACGGTTGTATAGCATCACTCAGATTACTCCAGTGGAACGCCAAATAAAATGCTAATAAGATGCAGGTGAACAGTACGACTCCAATATCATTTTTTTAAAAATCCAAAAAACAAGTTAAAATAAAGCATGAGAAAAAATATACTAAGAATATTCTTTTTTGGTATTAGAAAATGGAGTTTGGTTGGAGACAAGTTACTACATTTTGATGTATTATTGTATTTTGGAGTAAAAATTGAGTTTCTTCAGTTGGAGATGCCCTAAGATGTAGAACAAAGCTTCAGAACATGAAGAGCTCAAGGAAAAGGAACTGGAGTTAACAGGAACCTTACAGAATCAACCAAACTAAACCCTAAGGCGGGCAAACAAAGCTTTTCTACCTAACCGGCTTTGCAGCTCTCAACATTTGCTGCTCGCCAAAACAATATCATAACCAAAACCCCTGGTTATGAACATCAAGAGATCTACATATGAGAGGGTAAAAGCGAAATCACAGAGAGTGGAAGAGGGTTTGCGAAAGAAAAAATACATCAAACTGCATAACCTGCACCAATAACTGACAACTATAGAATCACCCATCGTGTTCTCTAATTGCAATTCTCCAAAAAAACAATAGATTCTGAAATCAAGGGTCGATCGTTTCTGCCCTAAAAATCTCTCAGAAAACGCAAGAAGCCGATCAAATTCGAAGCAAACAAGAAACTGAGCAGAGAATGAGAAAAACCAGGTAAGCAAATCTCAGAATTCCGTAAATTTGTGCGATCAAAAGAATAGCTTCGGCAGGTTATTTGACTCCAAAAGAGCAGACAAAAGACAGACAGTAAAACCGGAAAATGCATAAAAAAAGCCTTAAAAAATCAAGCTTTTTAAGATAACTAACAGCAAGAATCAAACCTTTACACAATATTCTTGCGAGACTCTACACGTAGCATCCAATCAGAGGCAAGCATTGGGGACGATCGTACATGTAAATAGAAGGCAAAAGGGAGTCGCTTTCTGGCCGGAGCTCTCAACTACATCGGAAATGGAAGCTATTCGTGCCGGCCGCTAACGGCATCTTGCCCAAAATATTCTGTTATCTGGGTCCTTTTTTTTTCTTAAACAAATTACGAGCCGTAGACTGAAATCGGATTAAGGATTCGTTTTGGGACGGCTTTTTTACTAAGTACAAGATTTTTTATTTTTTACTAAAACTCTGTTTTAGAAAGCAGCACCAAGAAAACCTAAATTGTGAAAGGTTCGGAAAATAGAGTTTCTGAAAGCAACAACTATCTATTTTTTAGTGCAGTCCCTCTTTTAATATATTAACATCTTTTCCTTCTATATTGTCCTATTAATTGAAAAGTTAACCCATAGCACCAAAAAACAACAGAGCAGCCAGCAAATCAAAAGGCACAAACTTGGTTGCCACCACGAAAAATTATTCTGTCCGGACAACGAACCGAGCATACCGAGCAGTACCGCTGTCGGTAACGAGTGCAGTACCGAACGTCCAGTGATTTGGCACTTTTTTATGTCTCTAGACATATTCGGTGTCCGGACACAATAATCTCTCTGCCACCAGGGCCTTCCGTAACACGAACAGGTTGATGAACCTTTAACTGCGTCCCCTGCACTAAAAATTGCCTACCGACATTTCAGTCTTCCCCCTAATTTACTATACATGACTAGAACGAAATGCTAGAAGGTTTGGAAATGAGGCACTCACCGATATTTCCTCGCAAGATTTTAAGAAGGCTATTTGGTCAAATTAAAGGCCTGGAAAAATATATGAAGAGGTTAAGCTGCTCTTTGACTAATTTCAGTGGAACTCATTTCCGATTTTGTCTCTGCTTGATGAGCCTATGGCTTCATCGTGAGTTTCGATTTTGCTGGACAATGATAACGGTTGCTTACCCACATAGTATTTATTGTAACACTGAATAGCCTTCGTCCTTCCAAAGCCAACCATGGCGCTGTAAATTCCAACAATTGGCTAAATGATCAAATTCTGGGAATGTTTTCACGCATTCTGAGTTAAATTTTTGGTCATAGCCTGCATAAATTTTTCGTATTGCGTTTTCTTTGTTTTCGGCAGTTTGAAAATTTCAGCAACTTTCTTAGGCTTTTGTAAATAATTAAGAGATAATACATCATTATATGGACTCATTTAGTTGCTTCAAGTTAGAAATCATGATTTGAAAAGAGATGAAATTTGTTAAATCTACTATTTAGTTGGATGAAGTTAGATATTAATATTGATTTTTCAAACACTAAATTCTCATAACTCTTTAAAATATAATAACTAATTTTCCCACTCAAAATGAACGAAAATGAAATCATTAATCTCAAAAATATTAGATATATAAGTGTTATTTAAATAAGTGAAGTTCTAATGGCGGTAATCGACCGGCGATGTTCGGGTGGAGATCTGACTGTTGCTAGCCAGCAAAAGTCAGACAAAGATAATATGGCGGAAGCCTGAGGATAACAAGATAGAGGTCCAACGGTAAGGGTTAGCTAGCTATTTTCCTTGGTTGAAGATTTAGGATTGTTCTCATATCTCTCTTTCCTCTTTAGCAATGGTCTAAACTCCCTCATTCATGTATGGAGTTGATGCATATTTATAGGTTTCTTAGAGTGACATATGCCATAAATACGGAGGAATCTCTAATATTAAACGTGCCAAAATTTAAGATATCCAATTTTTCTCCTGTCTAAAACCTCTAAAATTTTAGAAGCCATGCGTATCATATCCTGAGTGGTTTATTTTCTGTAAATGGAAGTACTCGAACTAAACAACCCTTTGAAAGTACGTCAAGGAGTCAACATGAGAGAGAGAGAAAAGAGATCCAGATGAAGAGAGGAAAAAGATGTGGAGGGGGTTGACCCCGGCATTTTGTGGGTGAGCAACCTGCCCGCGCATCACGCGCTCAACGGGCGTTGAATTCTTTAATCCAAATTAACCCCCGTTCGCCCACACGTGAACCCCTGAATCTATTGTCTGCTTCTATTATAAATGCACCCCGTCCACACATTACACTTAATAAGAATATTCTAGCTTTGATATACGAATTAGTATCGTTATCATATCGTTTGTAATTTGTGCTAAAATTGGGAAAAATAGTAAAAGTTCTGTTGTGAACTGGTTAGAGAGAGAGAGAGGTGAAAGTGGAAGGGGAGATGGGCCGGATTCCGTGCTGTGAAAAGGACAACGTGAAGAGGGGACAGTGGACCATGGAGGAAGACAACAAGCTCTCCTCCTACATCGCTCAGCACGGAACCCGCAATTGGCGCCTTGTACCCAAGAATGCCGGTATCCATAATAATTTAATTAGTTTTTTAGTCTCAAACTGCGCATAATAAAAATTACCAACATGACACGATAGGACTGCAGAGATGCGGAAAGAGCTGCCGGCTGCGCTGGACTAACTATCTCCGACCGGACCTCAAGCACGGCGAGTTTTCGGAGACTGAGGAGCAGACTATAGTTAAACTCCATTCCGTAGTCGGCAACAGGCACGTAATAGATTTGAAGATGAGTAATTGCTTATAGGAATTGCTTTCGCTAAGATATATAAAATCTTACTTGATAGATGGTCACTCATAGCTGCACAACTACCAGGGAGGACGGACAACGATGTAAAGAATCACTGGAACACAAAGCTGAAGAAGAAGCTCTCGGGGATGGGAATCGACCCCGTGACACACAAGCCTTTCTCACACCTCATGGCGGAGATCGCCACCACCCTCGCTCCACCGCAGGTCGCCCACCTTGCAGAGGCCGCCCTCGGTTGCTTCAAGGACGAGATGCTTCATCTCCTTACAAAGAAGCGCATTGATTTCTCCTCCGGCTACAGTGTAGGAGGCTACCCTAGTACTACAGTTCCGCCACCCCAGCCGTCCGTAGAGCCTACCCTGGTTGAGGAGTTTAATGGAGAGGAAACCATTCAAAAAATCAAAATGGGCCTCTCCCGAGCCATCATGCGGGAACCTAGCCCAGTCAAGGGGTGGGGGACCATGACTAATGGGGAACCTGACGACAATAGTTTGCTGTGTGAAATGTACCCAATGACCATCGACCAGGGGTACAGGTACGGAAACCCATCGGTATACGCGAACGACGGCGAAGGTTCCACGTGGAGCACATGCACTGGTGGCGGCGGAGGTAGTGGTGCGGTGGAGGAGAATCACCTCTTGAAGGGCAAGGAGGACGAATCGGAGGAGTATGAAAGTGTTAAGGGTGGGAACAAGGAGGATGCTGGCGTGTTTGGTTCGGAGTGTGTTCTTTGGGATTTATCGGATGATCTCATGAATCATATTGTTTAAATGAGAAAGCTAGCTAGTACGATCACTGAAATCTGAAAGAATAACTGTAGCTAAGATGCATCTGGTGCTGTTGAATAGCATGAATGCTTGCTTATTGTCTTTCTATTTCCTTCGGTAACAAATGTTTATGAATAAATAATTATGGTACAGAGATACAGAATTGGTCTCCTCTAAGCAAAATATGAAGACGACGATGATGTGTCCGCTAGAACCTGCAGCCATGTATGCATTTTAAGTTATTAACAGGAATATAATCTAAACTGAAGAATCTTATTAGGATGGAAGGAGCTTGCCTCCAGTTGTTCTTCGTTAAATGAATCCTTTTGAATGCTCCAGGTATCCGCATGAGTTCGCCTAAACTCTGCAACTGCTTTTGTAACCGTAGATTTAATGGGAGAGGGCTCTGTGATGAATCGGGCCAGCAACGTTACATGATCTGGCAGCCAGCTGCAAAGAGTCCAAGTACATTAATCAAGCATGCCAAATAAAACTGGCCCCGGAAATGAATTTTCAGAACACATCTTTGTTGAACTTTCCATATTCTCAATAGGTAAAAACGGAAGTTATTTAGAGAGTTCAAACTGGCAAGAAAAGATCTGAAAAGCATATGGTGGGAGCTGCTTCAAATGATACCAGAAATGCGAAGAATGATTGAAACCAGAAAGCTAAAAATATATGAGAACTCAAAGAGCCTTCTACGAAAAAATGAATAATAATCCTATCTGAATTGAGAAGAAAAATAAAAACAGATTACAGGTTTTCGAACTACGTCCAAGCATACCTGGGCATGTCATATGGACTCGATAGCACAGAAGCAGATAGTGCGAGAACGGCGCCATGTATAGAAGCGGTAGATTGACCAGATCCCGATTTTCTGCAATTGAAGAAGGTAACTTTAGTCTTGCATGACAAAAGGAGGCATGTAAACCGAGAATACTTCTCTGCCTCTAATTTTCAGAGAACAAATAGATGCAGAGTGAAATGACGATAGAAAAAATTATTTTTGGTATTTTATTTGATGTAAACTTCTTGCACTTATTTTCAATAAAGTTACTTTTAAGGCTAATTCCTTCACAAACTATCGCATACAAATACAGTCAATTTGGCCACACCATGGGATTTGAATTACTTCGAACCTGCATGACTTGAAACAAAACAACCAAAAATAAAAACCGATTTTTGGGCTCGACTATCCATCTACATCCGTTGTTTCAAGTTTTTTAACTCTTGCGTTCCGATAAATTCCCAGCATCCAAACTAAGCAACAAATACAGATCATCCTGCAATCGAAATGAAGGCATAATCTGAGTAGATTCTTAACCTTTGCTTCCTTTTTCTGATGATCGACTGTGCTTCTGAAAATGCCCGATCTCGAAAAACCGCTGAAAGCTCTTCATCTCCAGCCTTCATTAAGCTTGCCAGAACCCCCGCGGCATGTTCCCTCACCTGGAATTCAGAAAATATTATTTGTAAAAATAGTAAATTACAGTAAACTAAAATAGTAGAGGAAAATATTTGTTCCTACGGCAAGAAGAGAAGAAATAGAAAATAAACCATATATTGTAGGACTTGAAAAAGAAGTTAAGATATGATGCATGACAATCACTCAAAAAGTAAATTCAGACTTATAAATGAAATTAAGATATAATACATAAATTTAAAGAAAGAAGTGGGTGCTAACAATTCCAAATATATCACAAAGTTCATGGTATAAAGATTGATCATGATGAAATTTCTTCAATCAAGGAGTTTCTAGGAAAAATCCAGCAATGTTTGTAGATTAGATCCAATTCATAGAGATTGACTTACCTCTACTTGGTTATCAACAAGGAGTTTCTCAATGCTGTTCCAGATTTGAACTTTCTCTGAAACAGAAAGTAAGAATGTGTGCCTGTTGAAACAAAACAAACATGGTCAGAAACATCAAGTAGGAGTCATTCTATTAAAATGTTTCATGGCGTCTCAAAAGAGAGACAAAAAAGAATTTACCTGTTGATTTAACAAAACGGCTTGCAAGAAGACTAGATAAATTGCACTTAAAGAGATATCGTATGCAATGTTTCAACTAATTTTTGCAAAAAAAATGTGTACAACTTGCGGATGATGCAAGCATTATTCTTTTCCAATAATCAGCATTTGAACTATAAGCTAATCCTCATTTAAGCTATTCTCGCACCGGAAATTGTCATATTTGAATTCCATATCTTCGTCTCATTAAAGAAGAGGTCTGAAGCATTAAATAGAAACTCCCTTTCCTCTCTCAATAGAGCACACATATTTCTGTGGAACTAAGCATTATCATTTTCCTTCTATTAAAGCTGTTTTGGAGCCACCACGGATCTCCCTTACTGTTGTGCGGCCATGCCTGCACTGACGTTGCCTAGAAAGCAGACCCACTTGGCTGCTGCTTGTCAGGAAAATAGTGCCAAACTTTTATGTGGATGTATTAAATATGAGAGATTATAATGAACCACCTATGTTGCATGGATACGCCTATTTATGAGGCATGCTGTATCGGACACATGTCGGATACGGATACGCCTCCGACATGCCACGGATACGTGTCAGATACGGCTTTGCCGTGTCCAATTAAAATATTATTTAAATTTGATCGGACACGCGTATCGCTTGGTACTCGGTACTGCTCAGTACTCGGTATTACTCGGTACTGCTCGGTACTGTTCGGTACCGCTCGGTACTGTTCGGTACCGCTCGGTACCGAGCGGTACTAGAACTCAGTACTGCTCGGTACTCGATACCGCTCGGTACCGAGCGATAATATAACTCAGTACTGCTCGGTACCGGAACTCGGTATCACTCGGATACCGCTCGGTACTGCTCGGGCAGGTCAAACCCCGCCAGGGGGCGCCCCCTTGGACCCCCGGCATAAACTCAACATATCTATACTTTTTATTAAAAATTTTCATGTTTCAAATTCATGTGGATTAATTGTGTCGATCCTTCTTACTTCTAATTAAAAACTTCATCTGTTAGACAATTTATGTTTTTGTACTAGACATTTAAATAGTTAATGCTTACTTTTATTTTGATATTATAAGATACAATGCTACAAATGTTGTTGCTTTCATTTTTTTTATCTTTTCAAATATTATGCTTTGATTAATTTGTTATTTTTAATGTATGAATTATGCCGGGTAGGTCGACTATGGAAGACATACATTTATTAAGAGGTTTGATAGAGAAATATAGAGAAAATAAGGAGGATCTACATATGATATTTATTGATTTAGAAAAAGCATATGATAAAGTTCCAAAAGAAGTGCTATGGAGAGTTCTTGAAAAGAAAGGAGTCAATAATGCTTATATTCAAATCATTAAAGATATGTATGCAGGAGCTATTACTTGTGTTCAAACACAAGGTGGATTGACCAAGTATTTCCCTATTTCGGTTGGGTTAGATCAAGGATCAGCCTTAAGCCCATATCTTTTTGCTTTAGTCATGGATGTTCTCACTAGACATTTGCAAGATGATGTACCTTGGTGTATGCTTTTTGCTGATGATATTCTTCTTGTTGATAAGACTAGAGAGGGAGTTGAAGGTAAACTTGAATTATGGAGGTCAACCTTAGAGTCTAAAGGTTTTCGCTTGAGTAGATCTAAAACGGAATATATGGAGTGTAATTTTAGTAGTAATAGACCTAGTGAGGGGATTGTGACTTTAGGCGATCAAGTCATTAATAAGAGTACACGTTTTAGATATCTTGGATCTATTGTTCAGAGTGATGGTGAAATAGATGGGGATATTATCAACAGAATTCAAGTTGGATGGTTGAAGTGGAGGAATGCATCGCGCTTGTTATGTGATAGAAATGTACCCCTCAAACTTAAGGGAAAATTCTATAAGATGGTAGTGAGGCCTGCAATGCTTTATGGTGCCGAATGTTGGCCATTAAAAGAGAAGCATAATACTAAGTTAAGTGTGGCAGAGATGAGGATGCTCAGGTGGATGAGTGGCTTTACCCTTAGAGATAGGATACGAAATGAGCATATACGTGAAAAGGTTGGAGTAGCTCCAGTAGAAGATAAGATTAGAGAGAGTCGCCTTAGATGGTTTGGTCACATAAAACGGCGGCCTTCCGATGACCCGGTTAGGAGAGTAGATGTATTAGATTTGACTTATGTTAAGAAATGTAGGGGTAGACCTAAAAAGTCTTGGTTAGAAAATATTAGGAATGACCTTTCTTTATTAGATTTAAACGAGAATTTGACTTTTAATATGACACAATGGAGAAAAAGGATTCATGTAGCCAACCCCACGTAGTGGGATAAAGGCTTGATGTTGTTGTTGTAATGTATGATTTATATATTATAATGTCGTATCCGCGCCGTATCCGTGTCCTGTATTTTTAAGAATTGCCGTGTCCCATATCCGTATCGTGCGTATCCGTGTCGCCGTATCCGTATCAGGGCAACATAGTGAACCACAAAACAAACACAAAAGAGAAGTACATCAAGATTTCCATAATTTAGACTAAGTCTACATCCATAGTGTCCAATCAACTAACTACAAAAGCTTAAAATGAGGTGCAAAACAAAAATACTCGCCAATCCTCAAATCTAAGCACACCTACTCTCAACATAAAAGAGAACTCCAATGTCTCTAAAGATAAATAAAAGAGACGTAACTCAGAAAGAAGATCAAATAAATACCAGAAAGTATTCACTTGAAGGTTTCTCAAAAGGGTATTTTTATCCCCTCCGTGGATTCCACTCTAAATTTCTAGCACAATGATACTTCAAAATCATTGAAATTACATTCTGATTTTCTCATTCTTATACTTCTTCACTCTATACCATAATACTCAGTTTTCTGACTCTCCTAGCATCTCTTACTCCTCGTACCAAAACCACCATATGCCACTATCGCACGATTCAGAACATGCAAATCAACGCACATAGATACTACTAGATAGATATTTCTAATGAGGTTTCAAATCTAAATCTAGTTCAAATTTTGATCTAAAAATTATGAAAAAATAATAAATTATCCAAACAAATTTTGAAATTAGATTTTATCATTAAAAAATAATTTATTACAATCATAGCAAACCTCTTATTTAAAATTGAGTAAAAAAACTAAGATATATTTCTTGATTACTGTCATACTGTGGGCTTCAAAATTTTGCGCCCCGGCCTTACTGTTAAAGTTTTCTGTGAAAGTTTTGAAGTTTCAGATAAAATTTTTAGAAAACATATTGGATTGTAAATAAGAAACTACTGAGAGATTTTAATCTCATTTTGTGAGGAAAATATGCAACTTAGCAACATGAAACCAAAAACTGAAGAACACCCATAGTTGAAAATTACTAAGCTAAATGGTACCTCATGAAAATTATGTAGCGCAAAAAGTTAGGCGAGCAGAAATACCAACCTGTACATGAAGGTACGGAGATATGAGAGGGATGCCGATCTAGTCCGCCAATTGGGATCATTGATAGAAGAAAGGATCTTAGAGACAGCATTTTCAAGAAACGGACGAGGTAAAATCTTCCACTTCAGCAATTCAAAACATGCCTTTGCCAACGTCGATAAATCTTTATCAGATGTTTCCTGCATACAAGTGGCGTGAAGGAGATAGTCTATAATACACAAGTTAAAACGATGCATCAAATCAGCTAAAAACATATGGCAGAAAGACAGTGAAGCATTTTGCTACAGGTCATTAGTTTTCCTAATTTAAGGTGAAGTCACACTAGAGACCTAAGAAGAAACAACATTTTACTTTTAGTTACCATGTACTTTTTACAGACAATTTATCAACTGGCTTTAGATCATCAATCAAGGTGGCCTTATAGTAATCAAGTCTCTTCGTTTGAGAAAGTCAAAACAATTGTCTGGCCTTTCTTGATGATCTCAAATACTGCGTTTCCACATAGGCAGTTCACACAGAACAAGAATCCACTCTGTTTATGTTGACTCAGCAATCAGTTAACTGAAAATTCTATTTTATACAGATACACTTTTTTAATTCACCATTAGCAAACCATTATCATAGCACTTCACCTGGGTTTTAATGCTCGGCTCACTCAGAAAAGACCATCCATTTCAAATCAGCTGAACTATCAGAAGATCAGAATTCAACTTCATTCAGACACTTATCTTTGTCACCGTGTCTATACCATTTAAACTAGCACACCGTCCCCCAAGCCTTGAAAACAGAAAGACCCCAACATGATCAAATCGCATCAACAGCAATAAAATCTGATTTGGAAAGTCAGAAAAACTATAAAAGGAGATTCGCTACCTTCTTTCTTGCCTGCTTAACCCCTATCACCCATTTCTTTCTACTCATAGCCAAGCCCTTAAGTTCAAACTTCTGGAAAAAAAAATTACAAAACTCCTCATATTAAAGGTAATTAACCAATTCTATTTAGTTCATTTCGTTTAAGATCTTTCTTATTTCCTTCGTCAGTAACCACCATAGCTATAGAACACATAGCACCAGCATTCAATGGCAGGTAGGTGGCTGATTTAGCTAAGGGATAAGATCAAGACTTAAGTGTTGGTGTTGGATGTCAAGAAAAACAGTAGAACCACATTTCATTAATCTCAAGGAATAAGCTCATCACAATCATGATTTAATGTATCCGTATTTGCCATGTCCTCATTACAGAAGAAATGGAAAATTTGACGAATCACAAGGTTGTTAAAGCATGCAAACATTAGTCCCTGGTGTATGTAAATACCAGTGCAGAAGCTTGCATAATTTTTTACTAGCAAAGTTTATATGAATGCTCAGCAGATCACAAATGACAGTGCAACAAGAGCAATGCAAACTAATGACAGACTATTTTCCTCCCCGGCCATATGGAGAACCATGCATGGAAAGATATTGAAGATAAAACAATAATGCTTTAAAGTGTCAGATTACGATGACACAGCAACCTTTATTTGTATAGTTCAACTAACATTAAATGATCTTCCAAGAATCAGCAGAGCAATAGTATTTTGCCAGTCAGATTCAACATGCATTACACCTAAGAAAGAAACCATTTGGTATTTTCACCTGCAAAAGGCCAGGCTTTTCATGCAATAAGGGTCCATGGATGATAATGATGGTAACTGGTGAATATTTTATTTTTTTTGGCCTCATAGGGGCAAATGCTAGCTTTTCTAAGGTGTTGAACACATCACTTTTAACCATATTTCTTAACACTGATGATAAATAATCAAATTTAAACACAAATACAGATTAACAGATCTAATGTGTTATATTAGTATAGCAAAGTGATCTCAGAATGAAGCAAAGGAACAAGCCAAAAGCAACTGCCTGGTTAAAATATCACCATACGAGTGCTAACATAGTAGTTATTTACAAAGTCAAATGAACGTTACTGGATTCTTAAACTAAAGTTGTGATAAGCATGCTTCTAAAGTACCTGCAAGGAAATAACAGAATACAGGAGTCCAACAATTACGTCCAGTAAATATGAAGATCTTCCAGACTTAAGAGATGAGATAATGAAATGGAACAGCTGCACGGATTAGAACGAAACAGTTAGTCCATGATTAAAAAATTACTCGGAGGCTTCACTAGGAAAAATAACAGAAAAATCACAACCATTTCCATTCTCCTAATATCAGTCTTAGATTCATTGTTTTTTAAGCCATTTTCATATAGATCAGATAAAGTCTCCATGCTTTCTAACTGGCTGGAATTCTGTATATTTATTGCAGATTCAGAGGCTCTTTCTGTTAAAAGTTTAGCCCAATCTTCGGTTTGCAATGATTTGATCATGACATTGTCTTCGCCCCTTTTTGGATCCTTACTGTAGTAAGTTGTAGAGAGTCTTAAGTTCGAGCATAGGATAGAAAGAGTAACACCAATTGCTTCCCTCACCTGAAAACAATTCATCCAAATTTCACTAGACGATCACAGAAAAGGCATAATAAACTTGGGGGGAAGTATAATTCATCAACAAAATTCATGGGGAAAAAAAGAAAAGACAACAATATAAATTTATTTATTGAAACCAGATTAAAGAAAGATTGGCTGGCCTGGACAAGAAAAATATGGTTAACAAATCCAAGCATGGAGATGCTAATCTTCTCATTTAAATATAACTGGAACAACTTAATATTAAAGGTTTAAAACTGAATATCAACTCTTGTGAAACATATACCATACCTAATTAACAGTGTGAAACTCAAACAGGCAGACCATTGCATAAGGAAAAGATAGACATGATCATATCTAGGGATTAGCATCATTATCGTATAGAGAATAATACAGTAAAATGTAACGTTTAATTCTCTAATATATTAAAAGTTTCGAAGGCCTAACGTAACAACTACAATTACATGTACAAACCAAAAACATAGTAATGAACCTAGACATATTTCATATTTCCCTGAAATCGCACTAATATTGGCATAAACTGCTACACGAATACAACTATTGCAACTCACAACACGAATAAATAAGTATACGCTTCGTCAGACCTGATAAAACATGGCATATGCTGACCAGTTGCATCATGCATAAGGTGTTGAGGACCATAACAAACAAGTTGATATGAGTGATTTATATTTAAATAACAATTAGCATTAATTGTAATTAGATAAAGTAACTCATTACACTTAATTATTAAGGTTTGATTTAATAGTTAACTCACTTGATTTTTTCATATATATATATATATAGCTTTTGTTTTAAAGCTAACTTGAATATAGAAAGAAAATGAGGCAGTTGAGATGGAATCAAGAGAGAATTCGGGCAGTCAAACGTGAGAGGTTTCTCATTTTGGCAAAATTAGGATAGGGGTTACCGCAAGAATTCGTATAAGCTTTTGAAAGAGGTTCGCCACAAGGAGCAATCATTGGCATGAATCAAAGGTTAGGTATTGCTCGGTTTTTCTTCATCCTTTCCTCGACATCCTCCGCACGATGGCCGTTTGCCAAATCAAAGGTATATTTCTACTCTTAACTGATTAAGGGGCGTGAAGATGTCTGAATATGTGGTTCTTGGATTCACTATTCCTAGAATAGTTGTCCGTCTTTCTTTTTCAAATTCTACTTGCCGGTCAAGTTTATATCAAAATTGGAAACTGAATTCTCTAATCATTTGTATATATCTTCATTGATTAATAAAGAGATTGCGAGAGAGGTTGCACTGTAAAAATAGAGTTCACTCAACTCGAACCACGTAATTTGATTTCTTCTTCTGATTGATTCCTGTATTATCGGTGGCTGTGAAATCAGTGATTGGTTTTGAACATAGATTCTTCCTATTTACATTTCTAAATGGCTGTGAAATTAGTGAAGTTGCTATTTACATTTTTTTATACATCCTTGTGGTTTGAAATATAGATCCTTTGCATAACCACTGTAATGTGAGACTGAGGTAGGATTACTAGTACTACTACAACAACATCAAGCATTTATCCCACTTGAGGTAGGATTATTACTGATAAACAATTTTTTTCTCTAATCAAACAATTGTTTGCAGGCATATGAAGCAATTCAATTGATAAGTACAGAAATTTACAAGTGGCTTTCGCTGTTTCAAAGAGGAGAAAATCTTCTCAAAATGTTTACTGTTTTTTGATATTGGTGATATCTCATTTAGTGTTCTTGCTTAAGGTTTTATATGAACAAAAGTGTTACTGTTTTTGTACATTTTAATTAACTTTTGTGCAAATGATCTTGATCTTGGAAGATAAAGTGCAATTTAAATTGAATCACAACACAAGTTTAAGTTTGGTATCATAATCAAAGAGAAAATGATCAAAATGTTACCTTAATTAGACGTGCATATGCTAGCATCATGATCAATTAAGTAATAATATAGTCTTTTATAATTTCTATCAAAGTAGATAGGTAAGACCAATTTGATTCAAATTTGGTAGGTTAAGAGACTAAATTAAGTTGAGAGACAAGATTGAACACTTTAAAAAATTTTGAAACAAAAATAGGCACGGCGCACCTAAAAATTGAAGGATCATTTGATTATTTACTCCCCAAAAACAACAAAAACTTCAAGAGCTTAGAAACACTTAAAAACTACTAGAACTGGTACTCCATAAATATAAACACTGAAAGATAAATAAAAATTTTGGACTGTCCAAAAGTAATGGTGAGTGGAGATTTACTTGGGCAGATGAGTGGCTCATGTTATCGAGCAATTCTGCCAGAAGTTTTTCAAGAAACTCCAATTCTTCAGCAGGCATTCTTTGTGGAGATATTTCAACTAGTGCAACTGAAAGGAAAGAATATCTCTTGGCCATAACATTGCTTGTCACCGTCTGTGGTAAATCTCTTGCTAAACAGTCTAAAATTCTTTGCCTAAGAAGAGGAACCCGTGTACCATACTTCCCTTTCCCAGTAACAGCATAACGAACACAAGCTGCCCACTCAGGTATTGATTCCACGGCTGGTGCTATGATAAGCTTCTCCAGCTGAAACGTTATCCAACTATCCCATGCTTCTGGAAGACCGTCAATATCAGAATGAAGTATACCAGCGAGAGCTTCAGCAGCAACACTCTGCTTTGCCCTTTCTTTTGAACCTGAAAACTCTTCTAGGGCATTCTGAATTGCATGCAAAACTGGTGTACCACATTCTTGGGCCAATCGTTTAAAAATCTTTGCAAAGCTGGAATAGAATGTATGACCCCCAACTGACGACATCCAGTTGGGAGTGCGTGGCCAAGATGCTGAGAAGTCAAAGTAAAAAAAAGTTATCGCTTTGTCTGTCACACTCTGAAAAGATGACGCGCCATGACTTCCTTTGGATGCGAAACTGTCATTGTCAGAAATAATATGGACATGGGAGAGACAGTTAAGTGTCTCATTGAAAAAATTCTCCTCCTCAAGTATTTCACCCAATATTCCAATAGATGAGTTCATATTTTCTCTTCCATTAACGATGGGATGCCGAAGTTCTTGACTATTGACTTTGTAAGGAGCACCCTGCAATAAAGAGTTTAATGCAGAAATTGCAAGCATCCTTGACTGAGGAAGTTGACTTCTTAAATTTCGTAAAAAATGTCCTGAAATGGGATAAATAGGATATTAGAAATTGAAATAGGCTGCAAATCAAATTTTGAAAATAATCAGCTAAGCAGCCGCCTGAAATTAATAAAAACCTAAATATTTTTAATCATGATATCATTTCAACAATCTTGAAATAACTGACCCGCAGTTTGGCTGAGAAGTTTTTCAGACACACTTGAACAATTTCGATATGACAAGATCAACAAAAGTAGTACTCTATTTTCCATCAGATTATACCTGAATTCCATTTATATCATGCATCACCAATTAGTCAAATGACTTGCAGAAAAATATAAACCAAGGATGGCAGCTTGCTAAAAAACTGTGCCTTGTTAGATTTAGTTGTAAAAAGAAAAGCAGCACTAAAATGATAGATGAATATCACAGGCAAGATGTTTCATTTAGAGGGAAGAGATGCACATAGAATCAGTACCGCCAGTGCATGCTTGTAGCGTCAAAGCTCAATGAAGTAATTTTAGAAACAAAATCTTCAAATCCTGCTGCATCCCCAAGATTTTCTGAGTTCTTGAAGAAGCCCCTTGATATACCAGAGAAGTGGATATTGTACTTAACAAATAACTGAGAACCCCACCAACACCAATTAATAGATGACAAATGAAAGGGAAGCTAACTTAAAGAAACAGGAATGGCTTCTTCGAATCAGCTAAAAAAAGATACCTCAGTGATAGCTTTCTGAGCTTTCAGCGATTCATGATGGGAGCTTCAGAAAATTCCCCATGAAGTGAGATTAATGTTCCAAAATAATTTAAAAAAAAGGCTATGAAAGAGAGCAATTGATAAAGAGTAAAATGTTTACCTAGCCAGAAGACCCGTGACAAATGAAGATAAGGATGTTGCATCCTAAACAGTGTGACAACTATTATATAAGCAATTATCCTATGAATATACTTAAAATGCAAATCAATGTTTGAGTCTTACCGTTGTCATATGCCCGAGAACAGTTTTCATGGAAAGAACTGCACAAGAGCCTAACACCACATGTTCTGAAGTTTTTTTATTAGAAAGATACTGAGTCATTATGAGAACAGATTTGGCAATAAATGGTGGCCAGCGCTTGAACATCTTTGCTAAAGATCTCGCAGCATGCCTAAAAGTCAAATTGACAAATTCAATTAGAGGAAATTGAAACTTAAATACAATCTATTTTTTTATCCTTTTTCTCTCTTTTTTTGCGAGTGCTCTTCTGACGGGAATTAACTGTGTGTGCGTAGGATGCAGACTGGATTGTAGAGAAGAGGGGGAGGGGCTAAATCAACAGTATCTATAAGCAAAAGTATGGAAAAAGCAAGTCGCCAAATTTTTTTTTAAAAAAAAAAATCTCATATTTTGTTGAAGAGAACAAGGATGATTCTATCATGGCGTGGGGCTGAATCCACAGTATCTATAATATAACCAACTTATTCAGGGAACAAATACTGTTGATGAAAAGTATGGATAGAACAGGGAAAAAAAAATTCATAATTTAGTGAAGAGAACAAGGATGATTCTATAACATTCCAATGGTTACCATGGATAGAAAGAAACTAATAGTATCAGATTTCATACATATAAAAGCACACGACAAAATAAAATAAAAGCTTCATGTGCAGCATAAGCAACTCCATTTGAATTTTATTATTGAGATTATTGGTGCACTTGATTCATCAAGGAAACTTGTTGAAGTTCACCAAAGTGATGACCACTGGAGAAAAATAATATCATGAATGGTTATACATAATAGGCTCGTACTTAAAGCCACTTACGAACGAACAGTCTCATAGTTGTGCAAAGAGAGTTCCAAGAGATCATCCATCAGAGGAACCATGTGTTCTGATGGAGCCAAACTAGTATCAGCACGAAATTTATGATATGAGGACTGTGATGATCTCCATGTATTATGCATGTATGCCTTGTCAATAAGCGCCCACCTGGGTCTGGAAAACAGAATACACTTTCAAAAAACTGTGTCCATCGATATTGCATAAACAATATATCGGAAAAGAAGAATAAATAGAGAACAACGTTTCGACAAACATTTTTTACCTTCTCTTTCCAAGCGCATGGGAAGAAGTAATGAAATTACATGGAGGTTCAATTATTGAAGCAGATTCCAATTTCCAAGCCTGAATATGATTTAACCAATCTTCATACTCCAAGCTTCCTGTAATAAAAAACAACCATAATTTTTCATCATATAAGACCATCCTAGACAGAAGTTAACCATATACTTCACATTGTGCATTCATACCATAATTAGCTAATGCATGAATTATGCGAATAATAAGTATCAACAGAATGCTATCATCTGTTCTCTCTTTTAGCAAGTATCTGCAAAAAGCTCAAAAGGAAGGCACTTAGCATACCAAATATGACTGATGAATACTTAATTTAATCCGACAAACCTGCAAGCCACATGTACTTGTTGAGCAGCTCTTTCCCTCATTTCTGAATTACCAACTGGAGAGCCAACTGCCCCAGCAATTAAAAAGAAATTGTAATCCTGATCTGTAATACTTGTGCTTCTGAGAGATGGACGCATCTCAGGCAAGCATGACATAACACCCTGCAATGATGAGTATATACGCAACAGTGTCACTTTCAAGAGTTCCTTCTCATTCCCTGCAAAAGGAATAAGAACATTAATTAATAGATAATATGCACCGTCTTAAATTCAGAAAGGGAAATGGTGACAACTATTATAGTGAGGAAGAAAAGTGATGGACTAGATAAGTAAAGGGTAAATGCATTCTGCACTTCTTAAGGTTCCCTAAAACTCTGTTTTGGTCCTCAAGTTTCAAATAAGGGTATGTAGGCTTCATTTCAAAATACTTGTCAGCTGCTTTGCTTTCCCAAAAAATAATCACGAAGATACGCTCAAGTTGTGCAGGATAAATGCAACAAGAAGCATTACTGCCCATATTCCCCATTCATGGCTTCAAAGCCATCGGTAACAACTTGTCACCTCTGCCAAAGTATTAATGACCTTATTTTATAATGAGCATCACAACAATGCAACAAACATCATCAAATGTCAAATACCGTCCCAGCCATCCTAGCCGTCCCATGGCTCTTGATCCTATGGCCATAATGGGGATCCAGGTGAGGCCACCTGGATCACGCCGATCTCATTCCATAATCAGGTGGCTGATTCAGGAAGGATTATATTAGGACAATTATGCATTCTTCTATAATTATTTGTTTATTTATTAAGATATCCTGTATAGATCTATAAATAGTGATAGTTTTGTATGATAAAATTAAGCTTTTTTCCTCTCTAAATCTCTGATAGTTTTGTATGATAGTTTTGTATGATATAGTATCAGAGCTTTCATTGTCTTGACCAGAATTCTGAGTTTTTTTACAGTCGGACTTTCTGAAATGAAGGGGAGCAGGTTCTTGGCTTGTTCGCTCCTACATATGTCCAACCGAGAGGAGGGAGACTGCTTCATCCTACGGTCTCTGCATTCGATCGAGAGAGATGAAAGTCTCATGAACTCCTCTTGCATGTGTGCGACCAAACAGGAAGAAAGAGGCGTGCAGACAGAAGATTCTACACTTGTGTCCGGGCGGAACCAAGCAACATCGTGCGTCCCTAAAGCTTGTAGCACGTGGTAGCCTCCTCTCGTGTGTGTCTTGGGTGGAACCGAGAGGATTCAAGCAAGAGCTTGAGGTGCGTGCATCTGGACAACTTTTGTCAAGTTCCTCTGCCCCCAAATTTTCTTCCATCCTCTGCATCTATATCAAATCCTGCCGGCAAGCACACCGCCATAGGTTTCCACCATCGATCATCATTACCATAATTATGAGGAATACAGGTTCCCACCACGACCTTTTTTTATCGGAATTCTGAGGAATAATGGTCCTTCCACCGACTTTCATTGTCGAATACTAGTCCTTCTGCTTCATTCGTGTGTCCAAGATCGAGAGATGGAGCGGGAGGGCTCCTCTTGCATGCATTTGGGGCGAATATACATTTTTACTTGAAAACTGACCAACCAAGATAGTTCTAGCATCTTTGAACAGAGCTTCTAGACCCGCTTAGTAAACCCCACACTCAATGGCACGTATGAAATCCTGTACATGCTCAAAGAAAACCCTCATCCCCCAAATCTTTTAAAAGATGCTTGTGTTTCCTTCTTACACAGATATTGAAAGCTATTGAGCCAAGATTACCAGACTGCAAATCACACATCATGCTTACCTGCATCAACATGAACTTTTGTCTGGCATATTTCAAGAAGATCATCTAAAGCTGCTTGAAAATGATAAACCAACAGCTCATTTGCAAATGAAAGCTCTTCTTTTCCAGGGATGTGCCACTTTGGAAGCGAGCTGTTATTTTCATTCTTTGAGCAACCCCATTCTTCTAAAATGGAAGCTCCATCCTTCTCTGGCAATGACCTAAGCATGCAGAAAAATTGCAATATGTCAACAAAATTCACAACTTGGACAATCAATTTGTTCTCCTTTAGAAAAGAAATATAATTGAATGAATAATTATACTTGTATTGCTCAATTGGATAATAGAGAACCAAACTTCCAAGGAGAGAACGAAGAACATGATCACCAGCTCCATTAACCTGTCGGTTAATCAAAGATTGAGGTTACCATTGATAAAAAAAATAACATATTTGAATACAGAAAGGAAAACAAATCCAGGAAAAAAACATGCAGCATCCACAAACTTAAGAATTAATTGATTCAAGACATGGTACCGTATGCCCACTAACTAACCTTCCATGAAGGAGCCCGGAATGCAGAGGCAATTGCTTCTTTCAGCTCATCTTTGTGATGAAGTAGCTGAGGGCCTGCATAACTGATGGCAATAGCTAGCACTTTTAAATGGTACTCAATTGCTATTTCAAGAGCTGGGGAAAGTGTAGCCTGCAATTAGGACAAATTAAATAAGAGAGATACTGATACTTGAGAATTCAACAACAGAATGATCAAATAAAGACCTTGGTTGATGAAGATGAATCCTCTCTACCAAATTCGTAAGTAGGCGTCCCTTGTAAAGAAGAGGTTACAGACTGCAGCAGTGGTTTGATAAGGTTGGCAGCCGAGTCTTCTGGGTTAGAATGTACACAAGCACAACAAAGAAGCCCAACTTCTGCAGTAGCACCAGGAAGAATATTTGAATTCACAAATCTGGAAATTTTCTTCAATACCTGGAACATATAAGAAGACGGATAGTAGATGAAAAATACTTATACGATCCACATGCTATGATCCAAATCAAGATGGAGCAAATTGAATAACTTGGTGGCAGTATTTGACAATACTGAAAGCTTACCAACCTGATTGAATAATGGTTTCGAAAGTTTCCCTAGCAGAACTTCTAACATGCAAAAGTAATAAGGGGTGTCCTCAACAAGGAAAGTTCCTGAAGTGATGGAAGTCTGCACACCATCATTCCTACAGGTCTCAAAGTAAAAGGGCATGTATATGTTAACAAATTTACAAATAAGCAATAAATGCAGCTAAATTTCAAAATAAAAAAAATGACAAGTCGCTTGGTGTAACTACGTACATGACATTTGTTGGTTCTAAATGCTGAAGGAGAGAAAATAAGCGGCAAAAAAACTCATCTAGCCATTCTGATAATGCAAGGTTTTGGAGGAATAGGGGGGCATCTTCATTATCACCCACTACAATTAACTGCCGTGAGAGAGGAATACAAAATTTAGATATTATCATCCATTTTACGCATCATATACAATTAAAAACTAAAATACTTACATTGGAAAATATGGAACCAATTAATTGCATAGTTGCTAAGGTCTTTGGAGGATCATTTGCATCCATTCCAAGCAATGCATTAGAAAGCGATATTGCAACAACATCCATGAAAGAATCACTAGAATTTAAATCCTCCTTTTGGGGAGAGGGCAACAAAGAAGCAAGAAAGAGAGCACGGCCAACATACGCCAATGAGGTAACAGCAGTTTTCAACTGGTGGGTAGCAGTCATCTATTTGGAGATAGAAAAAGGAGTATAGACAAAAAAATAAGATGTTGTCGTGCTTCACCATATTAGATGCTTACTAAGAACAATAAAATAAGGAAGAAAAAGGGCTTTTGACAGCCTACAAAAGAGAATCGATGGTTGTTCAGAATAAAGTAAAAAAGTCCAGTAAATGAAAAAAAAAAATATCCAGCTATACTCACTGTCTCCAGGGCCAACTGGAAGCGAGAAGCAATGAAAGGAAGGACCAAAGAAGGCTCCACATATGCTAAAACTGAAGTTGAAACAGCAACTGTTTCTGAAAGAGTTTCGGTTTTGCTGTATTGACCACGATCAATTAATTTCAGGGTCACTTTAACAAAAGAAGATCTTTCTAATGCTCCCAAAGACAAGACAGCCTGTTTGTCATCCTTGGCATAACTGCATCAATATATCGATGATAAGAACAAACATCTCAACAAGGAAAATCTAATTATTGTAACCATCATCAAAAGAGACTTCTTACAATTGTTCATGCCGAAGGCGCTTTTGAAAGCTAATTACTAAGTATCTCAATAAGCGCTCCAAGGAATAAGTCCAACGGCCTCCATTTGAAGGATGGTAATATCTAGGAAAATGAGGTTGTTGTAAATCAATTGAATGCGGAAATATAACCAAAAGTTGTTTGCTAAAAACAAAATAAGCTGGGAAAGTGAGGAATTAACTGCTCCAGAAGGCACACCAATCTCTCAAAGTGCTCATGCGCCAAACTACCAGGTTTTAAGAGAAAAACCTATAGTTACATACAGAAATATTTGATAAGCCAACAAAACTTATGCGCAAACTATTGAAGAAATTGCAAATATATGGAAATACATCACAATTAGGAAACAACGTTGATCAGTTCTCCAAATTAACTTAAAAAAAACCTTACTATTGATTTTGCTATAGCTTTCGCAGGCGTGCCTGTTTTGCTGGAAAACAGAAATCTTGTGTTTCTAGGAACCTCAAGAGGGAAAGGATACGCTCCATTTCCAGTTGACACGGGAATCTGGAAAGAAAAATCATTATATAGCATAGCAGGAATTACTTGGAATAAACACAACAAAAAGTGATTGGTTCTTTTCAAAGTGAACCTACTGAATGGAAATGAACGCATAGAAGAGTTAAACTAACATCACAAAAGACACTGAGACATCGGGACTAGATTATGTAAAAGCTCTATTTTGGAATCACAAATAAAGTGAAATTGATCTAGTCATGGGAACTATGATAGGTACCACTTGAATATTCCAAGTGATTCCTATCGGATCTTCGCCAAAACACAAATATTCCACTGTTTTCAATAGAAAACAGCCACCAAACAGTGGAAAAACTGAGAGAATAGGGAGAAAACGTTGGGAAAACAATAGCAAACAATTGTATTCCACTAGTAGACGATCAAAACCAAAGCAAGATACAATGTTCTTCAATTCGAGAGGAAGAACAACTCTCCCACAATCTCCGGCAACGCCAAGAGCCCAAGCAAGAAAACCTAGAACACAAAACTCTTTTCAAAATCAAGATTAACAATCGCAAGATTTCCGGAGGAGATGAGAAGAAGAATGGAACAAGCTCGCAAGCTTTTCCAATAACCCGCAGGTCAATAGCAAATTTGCTCAAAATAATCAACTCCCTCTCTTCACAAAAACTTCTCATATTTATAGGCAAGATAGGGGAATATCAATAGTCACATTCATTAATTTTCACAAGAACCCAAGCACCAAGTCACGGTTTTCCCCAATGCTTTTCATAGGAAAGAACAACCCAGTTGAAAAACCGAGGAGGCAGCCACGGGACCAAAGAAACCGCACGGAACCAAGGCGCCAAATGCCACGGGAAAACCCCCCAGCTCGGGAAATCCAACAGCCATCGTGAGAACCAAGAAGACAAGGTACAGAATTCAGCCAGCCGAGAATCCAAGGAGCCAAGGCACAAAAAACAGTAAGCATAGCCACGGTTTCCCAAGAGACAAGAAGAAAGGGGAAGGAGAAGGGACAAGTCCACTCCAAAATTGAATCCTTCTTAATGAGCTACCTTTAGAACATTAATGAGCTACTCAACTTCAGCTCAAGCAACTAAGAGAATGAGCTCAACCCCAACCTTCTCCATTCATCACCAAAGGCCCCAACAACTAACCCGTGAACCAGCAGCAGCCAAAGGACCAATCGAGCCAGCAAACCAAAGGTCTACCAAGCCCCATGCACAACCTATCATGTTCATTGGATGCTTTCCCATCATTAGATAGCTAAAAAAAAGAAAAGAACATAAAATATACTATTGTTCAAATAAAAATAAAATTACAGAAATATTTGATAGCATCAGTTTTTAATTCTTTATTTATGCATAAATCCTTTCCAAATTATTCATCTAAACAATGAGGGTGTTTCATTAAGGGCAAATGAAGAGATTTGAAGAATTCGGGAAAGGAAGGAGAAGGATTTTGAGTTGGAATAATCCTCTTTTTGTAAGTGATTTTCTTATAATATGTCTTTTGCTAAACTTTGTAGAATAAATCCTTAAAATTTATTTTATGACAATTTTAGAAGGAAAGAAATCAAAAAAAAAAATTGAGGGAGTCTGACTCAGCAAATAAGAAAGGTCCTTCGAGGTAAAAGACACGAGTTAAGAATTTTATACCTTATCTATTTTTGGAAAAATTCTTAATGTTAATATTGATGGATTAGAAAGAATTTTGGCTAACCTTGTGTGTTATGTGAAGAAACGACGCTAATAAGAGAATTTTCGGGAAAGATTGTCGCAAGAGTTGAAAGTTGGAAAGTATTGAAGCCAGAACATTCAAGTGGGTAATTATAATTATAAAATTCAATATTTTGTATTATTCTTTCAAATAAGATATAATGTTTTGTATTATACTATTACTTTCAAGACTTTATTTTTTAAAGACTATCATGAGTGAAATGTTGAAAGTTTAAATGCATAAATAAATGTAAATATTATTACAACAGAAAAAAAAAAGATCTAATAACATGAATGAAATTATGTATATGAATGAAAAAGAACGTTATATAATACATGTATGTATTAAGGAAATATGCAAACGAAGAAATGACATATGAAAATGAATAAAAATGTTCAAAATAAATGGAAAAGAAAGGAAAATGATATGTATAAAAACTACAGGAGTTCACCCCCTTATGAAAACTACTGGAGTTCACCCCCTTATCTACAATGTTTAAAATTGCGTATTCGGGTATTGAGGCGTTTTTCATTCGTGAGGCGAGGCGTAAGCCTCAAATTCAAAAGATTGCATAAACATAAAATGAAAAAAAAATTATATACTAATGAGTGTATAATATAAAATATAAAACAGCATAAGATATGAAGTGAAATCAAAATATCCCAATAATAAGACAACAAGAAAAATAGTTTAACTCAAAATTCTATCTTTCTTAAATCCCAATATTCTTTTCATTAACATATAATTCCAATTTCTAAAAATAAATAACAATGATATATCACGTAAGAACTCATAAGTCATCAACACTGTCATCACTAAGGGGTTCTTCATTTGAATCATCATTATGATGAACTGTTCTCTCCCCTTCCTCCTCTCATATGGAGTCCAATATCGGGCATTTACTTCAAGATTTATGTAAGTTTTAATATATATAGCGCGAGACGTAAGCCTCATGCCAATGAGGCGAGGCGGGCCTCAACCAAGTTGAGGCGCAAGCCTTATGGAAAAAACTCAAGGCGTAAGCATCGAGGTGTTTTTTACTGGAATTGTGCAAAGGCGAGCCTCATATTGCACAATTTTAAACCATGGTGTAGAGGGAGGGTGGTTGTTTTGGGGTCCTAGACTCCGCCACCATCGACATCAAGACTTCTCAACTCTCAACCAACTCCAGCGACTATACAGAATTGGAAACCCACAGTTTCCTGTAAGAGAAGGACTAGACAAATTTTAGACAAGAATTTTGGAATGCAACGGTTAAAGATTACTTGATCTGGAAAACTGCTTGATTTGGAAATAGAGAAGCATCCTTTCATAAAAGAATTTCATTTAAATAGAAAATAATGCATTATCTTGAAGGACAAAAATTTTATTCACTATATACTCGATAGCAAAAATTATATTTTATTATTATATGCCCGAAGATTTTCCCTTCACATGTAAGATGAATGAAGTTTATTTTACCATGGGTACAAGTTCCCTGCAAGGGCAAACCACTATAATCAATTACATCACAAGGATATTTAGCCCTTGAAAAAACTTTTGACTAAAATAATAGCTTATATTTTTATCAAAATATTGGTTAACATTAATTTCAAAGATTTGGCCTTTGAAATTTCAAGAATGATTGGATCATCTTAGAATTAATTTTAAATAGAAACTAAAGTAGGAGGATAAGAGTACTTTACTCTGAGAAATGCAGAGGTACTATAAAGTATCATATACTGGACTTTATATTCTAAAGATTGAATTTATATTTAAGTTGATTATTTTTATTTAGAAAGTTGAGACTTATATTCCACCAAGACATGATTCTAAAAATGTCTAAGAAAATGAGGACTTAAGACAACTAAAAAGAACATCAGCCTTGAACTCTAAATTTAAGGTGAGAACTACCGAAAGTTAGTAAATCAAATCTAAATCTACCAAAATCCATGAGACTTACGAAATTAAAACTTTACCTTAGGTTAAGTCAACTCGACCTCTAATATTACAATTCTGCCTGAAAAGAATGGTTAGCTAAACCCACCTAAACGTTTTTAAAATCATACAATTCCAAGCCCAATGCATATGCAAGATAGGCTTGACTATTTTAATTTTAAAAAAGAAAACTTATAATTTAATCACTTAAGCTACAATGTTTGACTATGACAGTATACATATGTTGACACCTAATGCGCTTTTTGTTATCTAGTTGTTAATATGAGAGCTTTTATTTCTGCATGCGACTCATAACACTACATATATGATATTCATCATTTAAATACATGATTTTATGCTGATTTGAAAAGCACCCTTATGAATAAGGAATCAGTCAAATGTTGAAATGCATATTAAGATCCATAAGGAAGCTTTACATTTCATTTTAGTTTTAAAAAAAATTAGCTTATTATTGGATAAAATATATAAGTATACTTTTAAAAATATATTATTATCATATGATTGATTTTAAAATTACTAATATTTTTAATAAGTAAAAAACTTAACTTTTTAAAAGCCTACAACATAAAATGTTTAGGCCACTTCAAGTAAGAACTAAAAGAAACCTAGGAAAAAGCACATATTTTTAATTTGCACTTAAAATAAGCAAACAATCAATCACAATAATTGGTCACAAAATAACATATCAGTATTTTTATAACCAGGAAAATAAAAAGAATGGGGAAATTGTTTATCTTATACAACCTAATTAAATTTATAAACTCAACATGTGTGTCTTCAAGTTACGGAATTTTGATACATCCAAAGCTTCACTGTGAAGTTTATGAGTTTATCCTTCTAATTCATCGTTCATTTTGCTATATCCCACAAGTGCATGACTTCCTAAAACTATGAATGAATTACATTTGTAAAAAGAAAAGAAAAGCCTCTTTCATGCAAAATAAAGAATTAGAAAATATATAATATATATTAACACAACACACCATAGATTGCCTAGCACTTATAATTATAAGCTAAATTTTTAACCTATTGACCATGCCTACTCAAGGCTTTAGCATATAAGCAGTATCTACAAGAAAATATAGTTAAATAATAAATTCTTAATTTGTTCGCTCTTATTGAACATAGCCGCCAATAAATTCTCTATCCTAATACTTAAGAAGTTAAAAGAGCATGTAACCACAAAACAGAGAATCCATCAAACAATCATTTCACACCAAACATCACAATCACATTGCATAAAAAAATCCTAACCCCAAGTTGCCAAAAGAGATACATCTAGTCTGTTCATGCTCCTGTGGTTGTCACATTATTATTTGATGTGTTATTATATTGCGGAAAAGAAAGATATTTAATTTTAATTCATGAGTGAT